CCGTACCAACGAATTTGTTCCCATAAGGAATAATGTAATTAGATTTGGGCTGTTTTAGACCCCCAAAATACACTTACAAATGCACTTACAATAATAACCCTTTCAAATTGGTCGAGTTTGGGGGCATTCAAAACTCGGGGTACCATGTATCTTTATCCCCCCGTGGATAGATTTCTGTATTTTAAAAAGTTTTTTTCTTACAATTTTTTTGCTTTTTGGGGCAATTCTTTGGGGAAACGCTTTTTGGGAAAAAAAAAAATTTCCCCAAAAGATAAAAAAGGGTATAAAGGAGTCCCTTTGATTGGGGTTTGCTTCTCGTAAGAAACAATTTTAACTGTATCCAAGCCCCGCAGGACACAGAATTTGGGGTAAATTTTTAAAATAAGTTTTTATAAATTTTAGTTGCCCTAGTTGTTATTTTTTTCTGGCCAAAAAGGTCTAATTTTTTTTAAGGGAATAAAAAGAGGAGAGAATGAAAGAAAAAATGAGAGAAAGAATGAGAAAGAGAGAATGAATGAAATTTAAAAAAAGAAGAGAGAATGAAAGAAAAAGAAAGAGAGAAAATTAAAAAGAAAGAGAATGAATTAAAGAGAGAAAAGAATGAATAACGAGAGAGAAAAAATTTAATGAAGAGAGGAATGAATGAAAGAGGAGAGGAATGAAAAGAAGAAAAAAGAGAGAGAGAGAATGAACGAGAAGAGAATAATGAAAGGAGAGAGAATAATGAACAGGAGAAAATGTTTAACAAAAGAGGAATGAATGAACAGGGAAGAATGAAGAAAACGAGAGAGAGATGAATGAAGAAAAAGGGAAAGAAAAAATGAGAGAACGAATGAATGAGGAACGAAGAATGAACGAGAGGGAAAGATGAATGAGAGAGAGAGGAGGAAATGAATGAGAGAATGAAGAAAGAGAGAATGAATGAATGAATGAGAGATAAAGAAAAGGGGGAAAAATTCACTAAAGCAGTAATTGTGGAGTAAATGGCAATGTGATGTGAAGATAAAAACATAATGGAGGAAATGGTAAAGGGTAGAGAAAAAGGGAAAAAACTACTAATTAATTTTTGCAATTTTGAAAATTGCTCCACAAATTTTTCAAGCCTGAAATGTTTTAGAACTTTTCAGAGAAACAATATTTACTGAGAAAGAAAAGTAAAAGGGAAAATAGAAAAAAAAAATGTTTAACGATTTTAAGATGAAAACTTTGGGGGGACTTAAATTTTAAATAAATTGGTTGGTGGTCATTTTTGTTGATTAAAATGGGGAATTTGTAAGACCACAGTACACCTTCGACGTTTACAAATAACCCACCTTTTGGAGATGAAAGTGTACATGATGTTTGTCCTCTTATCCTTTATCAGGGTTCCCGTTTTGCTTGGAATCTTTTTCCCACTTTTTTATAGTTAAAGTATCAAACCCCCATGTGTTAATGAAAAAAGATTTTAGTTGTGCAATGTAAAGTTTTTTTTTAATACAGTAATTTCACTAGTTTTTTTTTTTTTTTTTTTTTTTTTAAAGTAAATTTTATATGTACCCTACCTCATCTAAAAATAAACCTAAATCATCCCCCGGCCCAGGGTCCCCCCACCTCGCAACCCAGGTTGTCAACTCCCCTCAACCCCCATAAAATCACACCTGAAAAATAACAACCCCAAATTTGGGGCCTATCTCCCGCTATTGAAGCTGATCCGTTGAACAGGAACTTTCCCCCGGGTAATCACCTTGCCACCTAATTTCCCCTTGAGCCCCCACAGTCTCCCCTTAACTCCACGAGCCTCTGCTTCCTGTAACTGGGGTATCATACCCCCCTTTTTTTGATGAGACCCCAACGATTCTAAAATCTGTTAAAATTACCACCCCTATGAAGAATTTCATTTTTAAAACACAAGCCCTACCAAAGTTCCCCCTTCCCTTTACGAGTCCCGCAGGAAAAAGTGTGGGTACCCCACATACACTACTTCAGGGGGTTCCCGACCGCAGTACACGACGAATGCAGAAATAATGGGGGTTTCAATTTCAATTTTAAAAAGTTAAAATTTTTTTAAAAACCGTACCTTCTTGGGTTGAACTAATAAATTTCAATCCCGAGTTAATTTTGAATGAGACAGCTGCAAAAGTTTTATCAACATATTTAAAACTGGTTACTGCACTGTGGAAAATCGAGAGGCCCTTTTTGCTGTAGCCATTTAGTTAAAATGGCTTTACTTTAAAAAATTCTGGATGAAGATAACATTCTTGCAATTGAAATACAACGCTCATGGACAAAAGTGATAGGAATGGATATTTTCCCCCGAACAACAAAATTTGAGTCAATTCCTCTCATAGGTATTAAGCAGAAATTTCAAAAAATTCAGGGGAATTTTATCCTATCACCCTGCCCTCTTCAACTGTGGGGTGGTATTCACTGGGTGATTTAAAAAAAAACAACCTTTTAAAATCATGACACTAGAAACTTTTTATTTCAAGGGCCCCTTCTTTAAATCGTACATTGAAACCCCTTTCCCGGACACCAGTTTAAAATACGACAAACAGAGCTTACATCTTTCACTGCGTATATCCCTGGTGGAAATGTAGGATCTGACCATATCCCTGTTATAATACAACACAAACTCTCCATTTAGAATCCTGTACCTCCCAAACCCAATCTTAACACCCTAGGTTTTTACCCCTTCGGGATTTCTGGGTGACGATGAAATTTTGTATTGGAAAATCTACCTTTTCCCCTGCAATTGATGATGCAATCAGGGCCCTCAAATCGAAAAATTGAAGTACAATGCAACTTGTCAATTACTTCCCCAAAGATTTTCCAACAATATAAACCTACTAGGGAAATTAGAGACAATTTTAAGAAATTTTCAAGCAAAATGTCGAAAGGCATCTTCAAACCGACAACCACCAGCAGCTAACTGCACCAAAATTAAAACAAAATATTAACATGATTAGTCATCACAAACGGGGTTTTGGAAATTTTCTAGTTCTTAAGCTAATCAGTACAAACGGGAAACCCCAAAAAATTTTGGAGTAAGTCCGACACTTTTAGGGCAAAGTACAAGGGTCCTAACTAACTAGTTCATACTTTACTGATGAGGATGAAGTTTTTAAACTAAACTTGACGATCCCAGGCCAAACTAAATTTTTTGGGTGATGTTTTTAAAAACCCCCCCCACCAACATCGAATTTTTAAATAACATTTAGTTGGAAATGAATAAGTTTAAAATTTATATACAAAACCCCCCCCCCCCAACGATACTTCCCAATCTTAAATACCCACCCCTTTGCCTAATTTTTTATAAAAAATTCGTTTAAAAAATCAAATAACCCCCCCCTCCAAAAACAAAACAAAAAAAGTTCCTCCCCAGAAAGTAAACCTTTGGAAAAATTCTTTAAGCCCTTCCTCCAAAATTTTTCCAGGGTTTTTTTTAAAGCAAATCTTTCGGAAGCCCCAAAAAAAATTAAAAAAAAAAATAGACCTATATCTTTATTATTTTTCTTCTTTTCCCAAAAGATTTTAACCTTTGGGAGTTTCATTTTTTCTGCAAATTTTCCCTTTAAACACAATTCCTCAGCTAAACGTTTTTCGAACTTCAATCAAACTAGGGGGAATCTTGCTTAATTCCAAAAAATGTTTAAAGCTTTTTGCTAGGGTTTCCAATTCAAAACTCATTACCACCAGGACCCTATGACTTTTTAAAATAATAATTTCTTCCCCCAAGAAAATTTTCCCCCCTTTCCTGGCACCAACCTTTTCCGCACTTGTTTCCCCAATTTTTTTTGTCCAGTCCACTTTTTTCCAAATTTAAGAAGACCTTCCCCAAAACCCAATTAATGATACCCAATTTTACATTTTAATATTTTTTGTTCTCATAACTCCTTTCGGAAAAAAAACTTTTTTTTTCTTTTGAAAAAAAATTATTAAATTTGTCAACAACTAATTGGGAAAAAGAAATGGGGAATTTTCCCCAACCTAAAAAGGTCCTTTTAACATAATTTTTCATAAAAATTGAAGTAAAGGGGGTAAACTCCACAGATTTTACCTTGTAACCCCATTAGAAACCTAAAAGATTTGGGGAATGCATAGACCTGCTCCCCAAAAACCATGAACCAAAAAGTCCTCCAAAATTTACAGTCTTTTCGTTAATTCCCCCCCTGTCAAAAAAAATTTTAAAAAATTTAAGACCATCTGGAATCCCCCTTTTTAACCCCTAAAAAAACAAAGACAAAAATTCTTAAAAGGGGCCCGAAAAGTCTTGTCATTTTACGTTACCAAGGAGAACAGAGAAAAATGGCAGATTCAACACAAACAAGATTATTTTACTGCCATAAAATGGGTTCGCTTAACCCCAAAAATGAAAACAACTTATCAAAGCAAAACAAACATCCAAAAAAGAAATTTTCCATAAATTAAATACCCCAAAAAAAATCAAAACCCCCTCACAGGTCAAAAAAACTTCCCACAGGGTCCGGTTTTTCTAAAGAATGTTCCCAACCCCTTTTGGGGGAAAAACCTCCTAGAAAATTGGGGGAAAACCAAACCCTTTCATTTTTACAGGTACATCATTCCCCCAAAGGAATACATTAAACAAGAAAAAAAAAATTATTTACTTGGCGGGAACCCCCCCTTTGAAAAAATTTTCCACAATTTAAAGGCCGGAAAAATTTTGCTTCATTTGGAAAATATCCGTTGTCAATGCAAAAAAAAAAAAAAAAAGCAATTGCAACTTGTATAATTACTACCAATTCAGAGTCATGTACTTATATTCTGTTATATCTATGTGACTCTGATGGGTTAGTCTTATACCTCTTAAAGAATATCTTATCATTTCACGTACACTTTTTAAATTACACCAAAGTGGTTGGGCCACTTACCTTTTATATCCTACCTCTCCCCCCCCTCTCACCCTTTTCCAAAATTTCTATCCTTACCCATCCTTCTTCCTTACCCATCTCACCAAAGCTCTGGTCTGGATACCAATATAAATATATCTTATCATTTGGCAGGAGGAGAAGAGTAAGGTTGAGAAAGTGTCACAGAAGAGGATTGCATCTGCTATCTACCCCACTGCCAGCCTCATGAATCATTCTTGTAAACCTAATATTATCAACAGGTAGTATTTAAACATGCAGATTTTTTATTTTCAGTTTATAATGAACTTAATTGTTTAGCATGGGATTCATGTAAATAAATATTTGGTTTGTGAAACTTTATAATAAGGGATGGATAAGGATATAATAATAATATCTTTATTTACTACATGTACACGGTATACAGGCCTAGCTGACATCAATGACATGTGTACTGCTATATAGAAAGCTCCTTCTTATACAGAGCATTTCGGGCAAATTAGGTCAGTTTTGTCTTATGGAAACTCATTCCTAATGTTTTCCAGCCATACTGGAGGAGATTCGAACCCAGGACCTCAGTGTGTGAGCTGAGTGCGCTAGCCACTCGCTGGTACTAATAGTACTAATTTACTAACTTATGTGTTAGGTGAAAATACATCCTTTTATTAGGGTCAATCTACAGTTCTAGTAGCCTGGACTAGGTTAAATCATCATAACATTTCATAACACACATGTATCTGATACTGACCTAAATAGACATTGAAAAAAGTTATAAAAAAGTGCATCACAGAGACTGATATGTGGTAACTAAAAAAAATCATGAGAAAAATAAGGCATTTTATGAGATACAGTAGGTAAAAACAGATTCCACTTTGTGTATAAACGAAGTGGAATCTAAGTAACAAAATCAGTGTAAACAGTTGACTTAAGAGGGCATTAAAGGTTATTGTGTCATTTCCTCTTTTTGGTATAGAGTATTGTGTGGGAGGGGGGAGTGGGTTATCCAGGTAAAAACTTCCCCTTTTACCCTAGGTATGAGAAAACAAGTGGATGGCATGTCATCCTGCTTGGAACCTTTAAACTACCCACTGTCTAATTCTATCAGACTTCACTTAAATCCACTTACTCCCTCAAATGGAGTAGTTCTTTTAGCCAACTTAAATCACTTGTTAGCCCCCTTCATACCGTCAGTATACACTCAAGTTCACTTGCCCCCCTTGGATGGTTCACTTAGCCACTTATAAAACTTTTATACTGAGGAGATTCAAGCTTTCTCCAATACCCCTTGGTACACCCAGAGTAGCTGACCGTTTTCATGCTCAGTTAATACTTAGCACTTAAGCTATGCTCAGCCTCTTCACAAGTAACCCACACTATATTCAGTCTTATCCATACAACTTATCAGAGGACAACTTGAGCCACCTCTTTGTCATGCAATGATTTATTGTAATGACCCGTGTGAGCATATAATGCACCGCCAGTCAGCAGAATTTCACACATGCTCACCATATTTTCAGTACTCGATACAGTGATAATCATACTTGTCTGATAACTCTTTCATGATATGATGAATGCTACATTTCTCCGTAGGTAATCATTGGTGCTTAGAAGTCATCAGTATCAGACAGCAATGATTGTAATTAACAAGGAACACAGTGTAATAGAAATAAATAAGGAATTATGTAATTATTGTGAATGAAATTCTTTTAAGTCGTAATTCTCTTTTATACGTTAATAACATCATCTTTCTTTTTACAGTTTTTATAAGGATTTGCTAGTAATACGGACGATTGAAGATGTCAACTCTGATGGCCAGATTTACAACTGCTATGGTAGGGAGTATTAATATTCCATTTCTAGTATATTTTTCAGGGGTAACATATTTATAGCTCAGATGGAACAAAGCAAAAGAGCTCTATATAGAACTACAGAATATGGCATCAGAAAATAGATAGGGTGGCTAGCACAAAGCATGAATAAAAGATGTACATACCTCTGACCAGTTTCAAGAATTTCTCTACTCTTGGAATCTCTCATGAGGCTAGGCTTTTCTAGTGATTACCTGATCAGCAAGACTATTACTCTTCTGTTTGAAAATCTACTTACGACACCCTGGTTGATCAGGGTCACACACACACTAGTATACATGTACATAGGCAGTAGACTATAGTGTTTCCTTTATGCTGTTTTACATATATTTTATGGTAACACATTCAGAAATTTGTTACTTCTATCAAAGAAGCACCTAGGTTCATGTTACATATATGTCTTACAGCTAATAATTTCAATTTTTAAGTTAGTAATAGTTTTAAAACTTCTAATATCACACTAATACACTGGTGTGTCTTATACTGTGTAATGGGAAATATTGTAATACAGTATGCAATTTTTTTTTTTACAAACCGGCCATATGCCACCGAGGTAGGGTGGCCTAAAGAGAAAAATGAAAGCTTCTCTCTTTAAATTTGGTAGTTATACAGGAGAAGGGGGTTACTAGCCCCTTGCTCCCGGCATTTTAGTTGCCTCTTACGACACACACGACTTATGGAGGAAGAATTTTTTTCCCACTTTCCCATGGAGAGTTTTACTGATATCAAAAAATAAAAACATAAATTTTTATGAGGAGGTGCAGGGCAACTAGAGTTGTCCTGAATGTGGAAAGGGCAGTGCCTGCACTCTGATGGAGGTGTGTGGATGTTGCAGATGGAAGGTGATTGTGATAGCACACTTCTGACAAGATGCAATTAAATGAATGATGGTGAATGTGTTTTCTTTTGATCACCCTGCCTTGGTGGGAGACAGCCACTGAGGTAAAAGTAATAATAATAATAAAGTATAAGCGATATTTTGAATAATTTCTGTCTAAACTATTCGGAATATTGCCAAGATTACCCTAAAGAGCATTTTGAAGGGTGAAGTACTATACTGTATATACTGTAACAAAAAAGAAGACATACAGAATTTTGAGTCAGTGGACAGAGAGGTCAGGCTGCAAAAATCTAGTGAAGCTTATGAATATGTAACACCATCAAGCAGTGCTATAGTGCCATTAATAGGGAAAACAATGTGTATTTTTTATTTGCTAATGATTTGTATTGTATTAGGCTTTAAAACACTGTCTTTGGTTCTCTGCAGGTCCACACTACTGCCGTCAGGTACGTCAGGAGAGACAAGATTCTTTAAACCGACAATATTTTTTTATGTGCAAGTGTGAACCATGCACCCAGCCTGAATACTTGCAGAAGGAGGTAATTATATATAATTTATATATTACACTTTTTGTTTTTGTTTCTTATAGATTGAATCATGAGTTTTATTTTGTTTCACCACTTAAAATTTTATATAGAAGTGCAGTATATAAGAAAAAGTAATTGTTTAAAAGATTTACTAAATAGTACCTATGTACTCTGCTGTATTTTCTATCATATACAGCACACCAGATGCACTGATTTTAGGATAGAATACAAGAAGTAAATCTTTTTTTGATATCCCATGTGTTCAACTCAACATGAATAGAAACTCCATGAAAAGAAAAGGCTAAAAAAAAAAAGTGAAACACACTACCAAAACATTATAAAAGGTTCCTATATTCCAAAGGCTTAAAATATCCAAAGTTTTATGTAAATTTACATAGATCGAATAAAAATGTCATACATATTGAAGTCTTATTAACTGCCTTTATTTCAAAATATTTTCTAATTATTGTTGTACAACTACTAACTTTACAGGCAAGCTGGAGTGGGTTTCATTGTGAGAACTGTGGAGGTGTGTTATCATGGATGGGGGAAAATGAACCAGCAGGGTCTGATTTTGCAGAGAGTACAGGTGTTTTTCTTTGTCTTCAGTGTCATAAACTACAGAGGCCATCAGGACACTTAGTACAAGTGTGCACTAAGGTCAACTCTTTATTTGAAGCTGGTAAGCATGCATACAAAAATATAATCAATACAGGATTTCTGTTATACATACAGTACATATGTACATTCATACATATGCATTCATAACATACATGTACACACGCATTAAATATTTTCATGGTTTATTTTTATGTGTAGCTACGTTAGATTAGCTAAAATAACCTTATATAAGGTCTGTAGTGTGCCATCATTGTCACATTTTGAATTAAAATTAATCATAGATTCAAGAATTATGTGAATGAATTGGCCTCTTTTTTCTTGTTACAGGTGAAGAGACTTTACTGAAAGGTGATGTATCAAGTGCTGTGAGCTTTCTAAAGAAAGCTGTCTCAATAGGATCTGAGGTTTACCTGCCAGAAAATCAGTACTTTATTTCTGTGCGGGACACACTTGCACGTGCTTTCAGTGAATTAGGTAAAAATTCTAAATATTTTATGATACTTGACATTTGTTGAAGTTTTGTTAAAAGTTCAACAATTAGGGCACCATTTTACTGTTAACAAAATAAAACTAACTTTGAAGCTAAGAAAAATTTAAATCTCTACAATTAGCATTTTAAATACTCCATTTAGTTACCTTTTCCTATCGTGCAAAGTATAAAAATTAAGTTTCTTTTACCAAATACTATATCATCCATAAGCTGAATTTAGCATGAAAAAGAGTGCATTAGAATGAGAAATTTTGCAGATCTGTTAATGTGCTTTTCTACTGTGGAACACTTGTGGATCCACCTGAAATATACCATACCAAAACCTCCCCTCTTCAAGCCTAAATAAGATCTATATGCATGCTCTCTGATCAGTAATGTCCTCTTACACCTCAGTTGCCAGATATTCACTTGTTATCATCAGTGTTGCTCAAGACTTCAAGGTTGCGCTAAGATTCATTTGTCATCCGTTCCATTCTTTATTTCTCAGGGTTCTTCGGGGCCCCGTCGACTGCCTAATATTTTTGTGGGTGAACATTTGTTTTCTCTGGAGTACTGGTTACCTGCTGTTAGATCAAGCTGTGTTCAGATTGGGATGGTTCCTCATTTAGAAGCCCTGTTGTGTTATTCCATGTCCTTCCCATTGCTCTGGTCCTCATCCAGCTGCCTCCTACATCGATGGGCCTGGTCCCATCAAGAGACCATGGTGGAGACAGTGATGAGCTAGTGACATTTGATAAAAAAAAAAAAAAAACAATTGCAGTAAAAGCCTTCATTTGGACTTGAAAAAGCCTAATTCTGGATGAAACTTTAGCCCTTATGCTGTCTTGTATGCAGATCTACATTTTAAGCACAGTGTCCTCAAATATGCTGTGAGTGGCAAATTTTGGCCTAGACATGAGAGAAATTGGTTTGTGGTGAATATGCATGGTAAAAAAATCCTTCCCCCATGTAGTGCATGATGGAGAAAAGCAAATCTCTGACCTTGTGTTTGGTTTAAAATAGTGACTTTGAAGTGTTGTCTAGGATGATTTTATTGGCTGTTTTTTTTATATCAGTTGATAGAATGGAAGACATACTGCTGAAATACACATGATGGTTGGTGTCAAGAGTTGAAGTAGCAGAAATATTTGACTTTTGACAATTTCTCTTTCCCCCCATGGTATGCTTTATGAGTTTTTACTAGGTCTGCTTCATTATTAGGATACCATAAACCATAACCAATCATTCCTGGTTTTACTTTATTATCTAAGAAATACAGTAATACTTTATTTTTTGTGTGATAAATTTAAAATGGAAAGCAAGTGTAATATAGGAGAGGAAATGTTATTTTAGTCATCTGGAATGCCTAGTCCTCTTCAAGGGGGGCTCCTTGGCGTGGTGAAGAGGCTCTTGGTCTGAGGAATTAGACCTGTCGGTCTTCTTCCTCAGACCGAACCTAATTACCCCCCAATCTCCCTCCCCTATCCCATCCTCCCCTTTTTCCTTTCCTCCTCCCCACCCCTCCCTTTTGCCCTTCCTCTTTTTGGCCTTTGGGATTTCTCCCACAGGCGCGCTAGTTCCTAGGTAGGGGAAAGGATACCGGGGTCCATCCCATTCCATTGAGGTTCTTGGCGGTGGCGTAGTTTGCCGTGGAATCTCGATCGCCTGGGGATGTCCCGATCTCTCTCCGGTATCCCGGAATAGATTTGGGTGTCTTTCGGGCGACGGGTGTATCTCTGGAAGCCACCTTTCGGATTCCGGGGGTGGTGGCCGAAGGAGGTATGCTTTGTGGCGGATATCCGGCCGCCCTCTCTTTTGTCCACCAAGGTAGCTCGGCAGATGTGAGGTTGTTATCCCGGATTGCTGGTTTACTGGCATGAAGGGTAGGGTATGGCACGGGTTCCATGCTGCATCTGCGCTACTAGCGGTGCTGAGGTCCTCTTGGGCGCGGAGGGAGATTTCCGGCCCTTTCATTCCTCCTGGGAACTATTCCTCCCCGCTCCCCCCTTTTTTTTATCTTTTTTTTTTTTATTTTTATTTTCTTTTCTTTCTTTTTTTTTTCTTAAAAACAAAAAGCAAAGGAGTAACCTAACCATGGAGAACCCAATCCATGAACCCACTACCCCCGGGCCCCTTCTTGATACCGCACCCCATTCTGACCCTGCCTTGTTTTTAGACCACTCTTCGGACACTCCTGATGCCCCTGTACCTCTTGCTGGTGCTGTTTCCTCACCCGCTTCAGGTCCCGGGGGGGCTTCGACTGACTCCTTCGATTTGGTCTGAACTCCGCTCTCCTTTGACTAGCTTCCGGCTTCTCCCTCTACGGTACGGAAAATTTTCGAATCGCCCGCCCCTTTCATGCCGGACCAAACTCTGGTCCTACTCCAAAAACACCAACGTCAATCTCCTGATGTATGTACTCCTTCGTTACCTTCCCATTCTACTCGGAAAAGACCGAACATCATGCACTCCCTCTCCACGCTCGGTTTCGGCCCACACAATGGACTAAATTTTTACTTTAAGACCGACTTCTTCTTCTGCCTACCTTTCTGCCCATAGTATTGGCAAAGCGCTCCTGCATTCATGTTGGTAGAAATATTTCATTTCATGCTCTCAAGAGCGGTACGCGCATCGTCCACTGTCCAGAATGCTACCCAAGCTCATGATCTTTCTCTCCTTTTGCTATGGATACTATTACTATCACTATTGAAAACATCTTTCTCTCAATTCTTGTAAGTGGTACTGCATTTTTGCCCATACCATTGTCCAACAGAATTTCAGTCATGTGGCATGACATTCTTGAACAGCTGGAACTCCAGGATCTCCCAACCCTCACAGTAGACACTTATGTCCTTCCTGCCGTGGGCGGGACTTTTACCCTTGCAATTTTGCTCGTTTATTTTTGGGACACCCGAGAATCCGTCCTCTGTATATGTCGCGGGACATCGGTTACAAGTTCGAAAGGTGATACCTACACAGCAACAGTGTAGAAATTGTTGGCGTTTGGTCACCCAGCGAAATTTTGCAGATCTATGGCCGAATGCCCAGTCTGTGGTTTGCTGACGACCATTCTAATACATCTTGCAGTCAACCTCCATCTTGCCTTAATTGTAATGAAGCTCCCCTTCGTACTCCCCCCATTCCCAGGTCTACTTAAATAAACGTAAAAATCCATTGCCTCAAAGAGGCAGGAGGTCTCCCTTATGCTATGGCAGTTACTCATCTCCCCCTCCAAGGGAGACTCCCCCGTGTTTCTTATTCTCGTGTTTCAAAACATCCCCCCACTTCTGGGCCCCATTTTTGCAGCCTCCTCTGTTGTTCCCCCTCCCATAGCCACTCCGGCATCTAATCCTTTTGCTGTCCTTGGCTTGACGCCCCGGGACTACAACTCAGTCTGTTCTCACATCTTCGCGTCCTTCCTCACAAGCCCCAGTATCGACAAGACCTGTATGACACCTAATACCAATCGCCCCTCTACTTCTCAAAATTTTCAAAAAAATCCACATTGCTCAAATCTTCTTTGCCCTTCCTTCCTACTTCCACCTCCACACTTTACCTTTCCAGTCTCTGGGCCAAGTTTTTCCCCCTCTCTCTGGCTCTATTACAAGTGTGGAGATTCACCCTCCTCCTCGTCTTATGCCTTCCCCCCCCGTCCCCTCCAGTTTCTCCCTTTCTGCCACCCCCAGGTTTCTGCCTCTTCTGTCCCCCCCCCACACTTCATTCCAGTCCCTTACACTCTTTCCTCCCTCTATTTGGTACAGTCCATTACTGTCCCAATCTTTACTCACCCCCCCCCTTCTATCTCCAATATAGTCTCCCATACATCTTTGAGTTCAGAAACACTTGAAGCCATTTCAGAATATATTGCAGAGACTTAAAACCCTTTAATGGACACTGATTCACTTCCTCTTCCCTTTTCTTCCCTCTCCTCCCTTCTTCACAACACTCCGTTCCTTCGCTGCTTGAACGTCTTCCAATGCCCCCACACGTTGACTTTTCTAACCCCTCTAGTCTGTAGGTGCCCTTTTCCCCCCGGATTCCTGGTATTTTCTTCATCGCCAATCATGGGCCTATTTACAGTGGAATATCCGCGGCTCAGGGTAATCGGGGTGGTGACTTTAGATGTTGCTTTTCAGGTTTTCCCCTGTTGGTGCTTGCTTACAAGAACCAAAATTACACTCGGCTGTTTTCCAACGTATCTCAGGCTATAATTTATTGTATTCTTCGGATCCTTTCTCAGATGGGACCTTAATGAAAGTGCCCTTCTTCTACGCAATGATATTCCGTACTGTCAACTATTTGTCCATACCTCGCTGCATTTACACTGCAGCCCGTATCCACTTGAATAAGTGGTTTACAATATGTTCTTTATATCTCTCCCTTCTCGAGCATTTTCTATCCCAGACTTAACCTTCTTGTTTCATCCTTACCACCACACTTCTGTTACTTGGTGATTTTAACGCCCACCATTTCCTCTGGGGGGGGGGGGTCTCATTGTGACTCACGTGGGCATCCAGTTGGAGGGTTTTCTCGCCTCTCACCCCCCCTATGTTTTTTAAAAACTGGTACTCCCACCCATTTTGATCCTCGTTTCTCATACCTCTCTTGCATCGATATATCAGTCTGCTCTTCCTCCACTGCACTAGACTTCACCTGGTCTGTTCTACGGACTTACAAAGACAGCGATCATTTTCCAATCATTCTTACTTTCCTTATTCACCACCTTTCCCTAGCCCTCGCTGGCAATTTGATCGGGCAAAATTGGGATCTTTAATCGCAACTCGTGCTTTTTAGTGAGGGGTTTCCCTTCTTCATCCTTCATTGATGAGCTCCTACACCTCTTCTCGACGTCAGTTTATACCGCAGCCCTTTTCATTCTATACCCAAACTTCAGGCAGGCATTTCAGAGTGCGTGCCTTGGTGGTCTCCTGCTTGTGCTCGTGCAGTACGTTTGAAACGCGCTGCATGGGGCAGGTGCCGGTACAATAGAAACCGCTGAGAGACTTCTTGATTTCAAGCAGAAGCGTGCGATCGCTCGCCGTGTCATCTGTGAAGCTAAACGCACTTGCTGGCGAGACTATGTTTCCATCATCACCTCTGCTTCTTCTATGAGTGCAGTCTGGAAAAAAGTGAGGAAATTGAGTGGTAAATACTCTCCTGACCCGGCTCCTGTTCTACGGGTCGCTGGTGTTGATGTAGCAAACCCTCTCGACGTTGCCATTGAACTTTGCACACATCTGGTCCGTATTTCCCGGGGGCTCCATCTATGCCCCTTGTTTCTTTCCTCAAAGTCTGCCAGAGAGTTAGTACCCTTGGACTTTTCTTCTCTCAGAGAAGAACAGTATAATGTGCCTTTTACACTTCAAGAACTGGAGGCAATGCTCTCAGCTTGCCGATCATCGGCAGCTGGGCCTGGCGACATTCATATTCGTATATTATAACATTTACATCGGTCAGCCCTTGTAGTCCTCTTACGACCTCTTCAATCTTATTTGGGCACAAGGAGTTCTTCCCCAGCTGTGGAAATCTGCCATTGTTCTCCCTTTCCGCAAACCGGGTACTACAGGACATGATGCCTCCCACTATCGTCCCATCGCTCTTACTAGTGCAGTTTGCAAAGTGATGGAACGTCTCGTAAATCGACGTTTAATGTGATATTTAGAGACACAACAGTCTCTCCGCTAGTCAATATGGCTTTCATAAGGGCCGTTCTACCATAGACCCCTTACTACGCTTGGATACGTAGCATGTAGCATCTCACTTTTCCCTACCCCCCTGGGAAGTTCCAGCTGTTCGAGTCTGTTCTTTCTCACTCCCTTGCTCAAAAGCCGAACTGCCTACGGTGGCTTCCCGGTCTCTTTTTCTTGGTCACTTCCACTCTCATTCTCATGCCATCACTGTGTACACAGATGGCTCTAAGTCTTCAGACGGCGTCGGATTCGCAGCAGTGTTTCCGGACAGTGTCGTGCGGGGGCATTTACTATTTTCGGCTAGCATTTTTACTGCTGAATTGTATGCCATTCTTGCAGCACTTATTCGCATCGCATCTATGCCTGTGTCATCATTTGTGGTAGTCTCAGACTCCCTTAGTGCTCTACAGGCTATACGAAAATTTGATACATCTCACCCCCTAGTTCTCCGTATCCAACTTTGGCTACGCCGTATCTCTACCAAACATAAAGATATTGTTTTTTGTTGGGTCCCTGGTCATGTCGACGCGCAGGGCAATGAACAGGCAGACACTGCTGCGCGGTCAGCAGTACATGACCTACCAATTTCCTATAGAGGTGTTCCATTTCTGGACTATTTTGCTGCAATAGCTACCCACCTTCGCACCCGTTGGCAACAACGTTGGTCAACTCTGCTCGGTAACAAACTTCATTCTATTAAACCGAGCATAGGTTACTGGCCGTCTTCTTGTCATCAGTGCCGAGGTTGGGAGACCCTCTCTCCCGCCTTCGCATTGGCCACACTCGTCTTACTCATGGGTATCTCGTGGAGAGGCACCCTGTTCCTCTCTGTGAGCAGTGTCAAGTTCCAGTATCGATTAGCCACATTCTGTTAGATTGCCCTCTCTATCAACGAGCACGCAGAATTTACCTCCGTCGTCTTCGTTCTACTACTCTCTCTTTACCTTCCCTTCTTGCTGATGGACCCTCCTTTAATCCTGACTCTCTCATTGACTTCTTGACAACGACTGATTTACTCCACAAACTCTGATGATACTTTTCGCACTCCCCTCAGCCCTTTCTAGTTCAGTCTCTTGCTGCCCTTTACCCTTTCACCATCCACTACCCTGCTGTTATCCGTAACCTATTACTCATCCATCTCCCTTTTGCCACCTGATGCCCTCGCTTCCTTCCTGCCCTGCAGTGCTGTATAGTCCTTGTGGCTTAGTGCTTCTTTTTGATTATAATAATAATAATGGAATGCCTAGTGTTTATTTTGGACCTTTTTAAATTATATATATTTTTTAATTTTGTGTAAAATTAGCCAAGTTACCAACCTTGTCATAAGTTTATCTCCTATGTGCGGGTTATTTGTGTATTCTGTGCACTTTATAGGGTAGTTCTGATAGTTGAATGGGCATTTCTTGTGCTCATTTGATAGAATGGAAGGTTTGCCTTTAAAATAGCTAAGAATTGGGATGAATTAAGCAATAGAATTGGCTTAAAATAGAACTCAAAGTAGACAAAATTGCTGGTGGATAAATTGTGCCCAGACTGCCAACTTTCCACCTTTATAAGCCTGTAAGCTTTCCAAAATTTTCATATTTTTGGTGTCATTATTTTCAGAAAAAAATTCTCTACAATTTCAGAATTTTTTTTAAATTCCCAACACTGTCAGCACTTTTAATTTCAGGGGTTTTTGACAGTGAAAGGGTAAATAAAGGACTTCATTGCAGTTGTCCCGTTTACTAAGGACATGAGCCACTGGCACTTGCTCCATGCACCCTTTTTTCCCATCCCTCATGGCTTGATTCCTCTGAATCAAGTCTGATGGGGCTTATTTATATCCAAGACCCCTGATTTCTCTTGGCCTGTGCCCCATCCACCTGTACGTTTACTCTGGCTGCCATTTCTACTTTCGAACAAGTGGCTAATGAACTGGTCTCTCATTTGATATTACTATCAGGGCACCATTCATTTGTCTTATTGGTGCAGTTAACTCAGGACATCCCTCCACACATGCTTGGCCAGGAGCTCTGACTCGACCCCTCCAACCACATATAAGCGAGTAGTACATACATGCACGCACAACCAGAGCAAAATACTCAGTGGAATTGATAAGGTAGACAGGGATAAGCTGTTTAATAGGTGGAAGTTAGTCATAGATGAGCCACAGGGATATTAGGAAGTATTTCTTTAGTCTCAGAGTGGTTGGGAAGTGGGTTCCATATATAGTTCTAAGAGCAGGTACTGTAAGACCCATGAGGCTAAGAGGGAATAAATCTGAAGAGTGGCAAGTTAAGAGGCAGGGCCAGGATCTAAGAATCAACCCCTTCAACCAAAAATAGGCCAACAGTGCACAGAGGCCACTATTTGCAGATGGAGTGAGTCCCCTCATCTCATTGCATTAAATTATGCACATGGCTTTATTATTTCATGTAAATAATTATAGCAGCCTCCCCCTCCCCTTCCCCTAGACTTTTAATTAATCCAACATTTATTTCTCTTTAATTCATAAATCTTTAACACAATTATGGTTATGTGCTGCATAACGATGTTTTGGTCAACGACAAACTGCACACGACAGTATACCGTGTTACGCTGGCAGCAGTCTCATACATCTGTTTACCAAATCTCTTGATAGCATCATTTTCCCTTGCTCTTGATTTAATCTCATATTTGGTTTATTCATCATGGCCTATGCAGGAGAACAACCACCCCAAAGAAAATTCACTGTGAAGGGTTTAGCAGAAGCTTTTGCAACCCTAAACAGATTCGATAAAAAGTTTGAAAACATGGACCCCCAACACTGGAAGGTTTTCATTAACAGACAGGAATGTTCATGGTATTATTATTGTTTCATGATGAGCACCAAACCTCTAGAGGTCATACAGCATCTGGGAAATGGGAGGCAGATTTGATCCAAGGGAAGAGTACCATATTTTCCAGCATATAAGGTGCACAAGCATTCCAACTTACTACTGTAATGAACTGCATGTCCATTTATAAAACACCACTTGCAAGTAACCTAAAGCCTACCCTTGACTCTGACTTTGAGCCTATAAGGCACAGGGTGATTTTCCAAGACTTATTGAGAGAAAAAAGTGCACCTTATATGCAGGAAAATACATTAACTCCAATTCCTTGAATAAAAAACCCTTCACTGGCATTAAGGCGCCTCTCCTTTGTAGGTTATAATTTTTTAAAAATTGTTTAGCTGCTGCTTTTAGCATCTGTTTTGACTACTCGTGAGTGATTAATTAGATTATAATATACTTGCAGGTGACTTTAAGAGCTGCTGCTTGGAATTGCGAGAATGTCTCAAAGTGGTAGAATTACGTTATGGTTCAGAGAGCATTGAGTTAGCACACGAGTTATTGAAGTTCTCAGATGTGTTAACACTAGCTTCTACCACTGATGCAAAGTAAGAACAGTGATGAATTTTAGTCAGTACTGTATTTGTATCTAATGTCAGATTGAGATCTTAAGCCATATTCATTTAATTAGTTATAAAGTAGACAAGTTTTCAGACCAGAAATGCTTTTTTAAGTAATGCAAAAAGAAAATGCAGGGAATATATTGTTGCCTTATTAGAAGCATGAGACTATACAGTACAGTATATGAAAATTTCAGATTGAAACCCATTTTTGTTATTGAGAAGTAGGATTTTAGAGCTGCAGAAATGAAACTGACTTTATTGCAGTATTTCATATTAAGGATTTTTTTCATCATTGGGGTTTATAAAATAAATCCCATAGACACACTTTATAATCCAAGATGCATACCTGACCTATATTATGTATCTAATTTCATTTATGTTTAATGATGACATTAAGAAAACGAGCACAATCCCATTTCTTTCCCTTTTTCCGATGTTAACCTCATGTAATTTTGTTACAAAGTGAGTCTCACAAATGCCACCTTACCCCACTTATTTAATCAGTGGGAAGGATTTAACTTGTAGGGGTCATGTATTATTACATTGATGTGGGAACTGTAAACCCATAGGGGGCATACAGTGCCTGCTCCAATTCAAAGAATTGGAGCATAGGTCCCGTTTCTTAGATTGAGTCCCTCACCAGCATCATGGAACCTCCCTTCAGGGAAGGGATTGTTTAGTGGGAGGTATTTAGGTTTGATCCAAGGAAGGGGAAGATGAATCAGTTCCTCAGATCAAGAGCCCCTCATTTGTTTCAAAGTATCTCCTGGAGGAGGGATTCCACATGTTACATGAAGGTTTAACTAGTATATAGTTTTTATCCTACAAAATTGTGCATATGGGCTTGTGTTGTTAATACTAATGTCACTGTTTTCTTTATTATTGGGTTTTCACATTCAAAATAATTTATTGCTCTTCTTTCCTTCCCTGTTTAAGGGTTTAATGCTTCAATTTACAATATGGTTATTTAGAGTAGGGCGAGTTTATTGATCAACAGTATTTTGTTGCACTAGATAAGCATATTATCAGGAGCTACTAAACCTGTAAAGGGTTTTAGTGTGTGGGGAAAAGAGGGTAATCAAGCCAGATCCAAGGGAGTGAAAGGTAGCTCCAGTTCCTTTCATTAAGAATCTTTCAGCATCCATCAGATAAATAGTTCATAGCTTGATGTGAATTAAATTTAGAGCCCTTCAAAGGAGGTTTCTCGATGCTGGTGAGCAGCTCTTGATCTAAGGAATTGAACCTGTGCTCCCCTTGGATTGAACCAGAATGCCCTCTATTTTCCCCAATTATTATCAAAACTAAGCACTAAACCCACAAGGGTCATACAGTATTGTGCATCCATTTCCCCAAGCACTGTATGACCCCTGTGGATTTGATGCTCCTCCATGAATGTAATAATTAGATTTAGGGGAAAATGGTAAGCTCACAGGGTTGGACATACAGCACTTGGGGGAAATAGGCAATTAAGTTCAGCCAAGGGAAAGGACAAATTAAATTCCTTGATGCCAGCATGGGCCTCTTGATCTAGGAAAGTGGGCTTTACCTCCCCATGGATCAAACTCGTTTGTCTTCCATATCTCGAGGAACTGTAAGAGTTAACACACTTGGCAGTCTTTCCCCACTTCCATAAACCAAATGTCATTTTTTTTTTCCAGACTTCAAGGTGAAATTCAAGATGTGAGGAGAAGAATAGATGAAATTTTCACTTTAAATTATGGACCACATTGGAAGATATATCTTCATGTATAAAGATTTTCAGTAAAATGCTATGTTATTTATCCTACTCTTTTAACTTTTAAAAATATATTGAAGTTGACATTCTAAAATGTTAAAAATTTTGCACTTATCAGTATAGTACAGTACTTAATTTCTTTTAGACAGCCATCTCCTGCCAAGGCAGGGCAAC